CAACCCCTGCTTGTGAGTTCCTTTAGAGTTTATACGCCTGGAAACGTGCAACAAATTATTGATTATTGTATTGTTATCGGGAGCTGAGCTTCCCTAAAAGTTTCAGAGCGCTAGCTAGCGGGAAAGTTGGTGAAATATCGATTGCAAGATTTGATCATCACAGACACGAAAGCGAGCTAAGAAAAACGTAGTAAAATATGGAAGGAGAACGTTTATTAAGATAAATTTTGACTGTTTCAAGAATATGACATCGTGTTTTCAATAACAATGTTAAAATATCGGCTAAAATGACTAGTGATAATTGTTTACATAACAGTTGACACACAAAATATAATGGCTGTACATAAATTACTTATAAAAGAGTTCTATTTAACTTGATTGCACCGGAATAGTATCTTTGTTAAAACATAATTGTGATTTACAAAGAATAATTATAATGCGTATATTCTGTACAGTTAACAGATTGAACACAATATATGAACACTTCCTTAGTTTTCATCATTAAGGATGAATGTAGTATGAGTGTCATTGATAATAAAAATAAATGATTGATTACAAATAATTAATGTAAAAACTAAATCACATGTGTACGAATTGTGTTTAATTTATCATTACATGAAATGAGCCAATTTAGGAATGGCCGTCACAAGACAAATCGTCTAAGAAAACATGTAGAAATTTGTGTACAAAACTCGTTGCAAATTAATACAGCCAATGCCAGAAGCAGACATGTATTGAAAATGTCAACCAGTTATATTCCATGGAAGATAAGTCGCAGGATGATATCCGACGTTGCTACTTCGGCAGCAGTTACTAACAGATGTAAATATAATATAATATAATATAATATAATAGAAAAGAATAGAATAGAGGTGTCGGCACTGAAGAAATCGGCTTATAAATCGTGGGACGAGGCCACCGACTTCTTCATTGCAAGAGAATGTATAAACAACATCCATTACATGCAGCGGGTCAAAATTTTTAATGAATTTTTTTAACGATGAGTGTTTGTTTTTGTATGAAAATATAGGGTGGCCTAGTAGTTACAGTTTAGAGTACCAAGATTGGCGCAGAGAGGCGCGGGTTCGATCCCAGCTCTGTGCGCCAGTTTCTGGTCAGAATCGGCAAGGAGGCCGGGCGGTTTAAGCACAGCAGAATTGTAGCAGTGAGTTGCGAGTTCGAGACCGCAAAATGCTGTGAATGTTCTGCGATGGTAAGAATCGGCGACAGGCCTACGGCCTAATAAACGCTGAAACCGCTATTATTTATTTATAACCGCTATTATGACAGCAAAAGTTATAGATCGTGCGGAATAACTTCAGAAAATCTAATTTGCGATCTATAAGAGAAACAAGAAAATCCAAAATCTAGGCACAAAAAAACATTAAACAATCTTTGAACTCCTACTAGAGGGTAATGGTGTATTTGAATATTCTTATTCGCGATTTATAGAGTATTCAGACGGCATGATGTTCTAGATGCCTAATTTTGACACTGTTTATCAATAATATATAGTAGATTTATTGAGTTGAATGTAAAGTTAGTATCCACTTGATATTACTTTTTCAGTAAATCTTTATTAATTGCGAGGAAAAACCTGAATAATTATTGTGGTAATTTTTCTAAAAAAATTATTTTCACACACTCTTCATGAACGTGACATGTGGGAATCATAGTGAAAAAAACTTCAGGGCACATAATACATCTTTTCTAGTATTTGAGTCCTAACTATAAACTATTATCGCTTATTGTAAGGAAAAAAGTCATAATGGAAACATCAATGCATTTAATCTTTTATCATGAATACAAGTTATCATACTCACTCTTCACTTGTGCTCATATTTCATTCATGTTCTAATTGTCATCTCAAATGTGACTGTTCTTTGCAGCTCATCCACTTCACAACAGAACCTTGAACGCAATCAATTGCCAAGCACCGAACTATTTACGTAACTTTTAAATCAAGAAGAACAGAAATGATATACTATTGCATATGACTGAAATCGACGGACTTCTATGAAGTTCATATATTCTCTTAAGACTTCATCAATGTAGGGTTAGCTAGTAATAAATAAAATGTATAAAAAAATTTTTTAAAGACCACGTTTTTCATGTGGACTCAAAAGTAGAAAATAATTTTTCGGCAGCTACTGATCTCTGTTTGCTTTCATTCTCTTGATCTTTTGTATTTCAGTTAAAATATTTTACAACATCTAAAACCTGTCTCTTATACACATCTAGATGTGTATAAGAGACAGGTTACTTGATATGATGAATATGATGGTTCATTGAACATTTGATAAGTGTATTGCTGATATAATTAGAAATAGTGGTTGAATTCAAAATTGAAATTAAGGCATGCCTAAATGAAGATGCGCCCCACGTTTTTCGTTTTAGAT